AGCGGGAAACGCATCAAAGCCGAGCTCCGAGCTAAAGGAGGCAAACGCATCAAAGTCGAGCTCCGAACTTATGACAGCAAGCATGTCAAAGTTGAGCTCCAAGCTAACAACCTACAATTGTGAAAGCAACTGGTTCCGGACAAACGGTTCGACGAACCGTCGCTTGGAGGAACATCGTGGCACGCTAATCGACCCTATTATTCAATGGACCAGGCCAACAAAATTTGTCCCAACTTTAGTCATAACTCGGCAACGGATCTGGGGGACTTACTATAGGTGGTGGAATAATCTCCTTTGTAAGGCTCACTGAATAATGGGCTCGACCCGCGCTATTGTGAGAATCACTCTCCTTACGAAGGGCGCTATTGGAACTCGTTTTAATGCGCTTGCTGTCGTTAGCTCGGAACTCGACTTTAGGGCCTTTGATGTCGTTAGCTCGGTAAATCCCTGCTTGTGTTCTTTGCGCGTGGGAGAACATGAACAGTTGCGAGGGAACAAAGGTTTCTTGGAAATTTAGTTCCAGGCTGTTAACCTTGGGGTCGTGGGTTCGAGCCCCACGGTGGGCGCCAACTGTTTGAACCGAGTTCGGTCTTTTCAGTAAGTGAGTGACTGGACTCGTCTGTGGGTTATTGCAAAGGCGTTGTTACTATTTATGAGTGGAATAGTTGTTTTATTGATGAAAGATTTCTGTTACAAACGAAGAAAGGAGAGGCGAGGCAGCGTCGCTCGGAGAGCTCAGCCGTGCCGTACAAGTCGGAAAGAAAGTACAAGAGTGAAAACCCTAATTCTAGTCGCCTTGTGAGTTATTCTGATTTCGGATCCTTTCCTTGTTGCCCTGTCTCCTCCTTTTATAGCGCCCTTCGTTTGACCTAGCGAGCTGGTCGCTTGTGTGGAAGGCTTTCACCAAATGGGCCCTGGTCGGCCCCTTAAGGCGAGTGCCTCGCCTTAAGCGTCGTTAACTCGGTTAATCGCGGGAATTATCTGAGTTAAACTAGATTAGTTATGTTACTTTGTCGGACCGGAGCCCGCGTGGATCGGGCCTATTATTCAGTGGACCTTATAAAGGAGAGTATTCCACCACCTACAATGCAGTAGTGGAGGATTTCCCTGTATAGATAGTAATAAAGTGATAAAAAAGAAGGAACTTGTGTCAATTGGAGATGTCAACAAATTCATTCAAACTCTAACGAGCAGGTACCGTTCATACTCCCACCATTATTTAAGATCTATCCGAGTTTGAAAATTAGAATTATTAAATAGTTTATCTGTTGTCTTGGTGAAGAGACAAGAACCTGATTTTATTTGCAAAGATCGGCTTTTCGAGGTCCTACATCAAAATGGATGGTCCTTTTATCCTGCACTGGATGCAGCAGAAAGCTAGATAAATCTGTCACCTCTCTTCATTGCAACTGATGTGTTAACCCTAATGTCACTGGTGTTATCAGGTGCGAAGATTTTAAGCTCATGGATATGCAAAAGAAGCTACTATCTTAAAATTACGCTCTCTAATATCAAACTTTTTAACAGGTGATGTGTGTAACTATCAGTTGATGATGAGAATGGTATTGCAACTTTTTGGTGTTTAACAAGGAGATGCTTAAGCTTACCAAGCAAGATTCAGCTGCTCTAGCTCTTGATGAGTTTTGTTATTTTCTGATCACCATCTTCATCGTTTACAACTGTGGCAATCTCTAAGCGCCCCTCTAACCCTCTGACATATTGCAGGTGATTGGTGGTGGCGGACAAGAAGTCCCAGAACGCTTCACAGAACTTGGTGGAATGAATTTATTTATTTTTTTCAGATATGTAACGCCATACAATTTCAGTATTTCACCCCAAACCACCGCACCTTCACCGTCTCTGCAATCACCCCGTGGTATTATACTATATACACTCAAAAACGTTTTCATCTAACTCATGGTTTTAATAACATATGTGTAATTGGCTTGCAGATTTTCAACACCACTGAAGCTCCATTTGTTCAAGGGAAAGGTGGTAAAGCATTTTCTTCTGTTTCTGCCAGCAACACGGCTGCAGCTAGAGACAAAGAATGTGCACACAAGTGCCCCAGTGAGTGAGAGTTCCAAAGCTCACAAACCGTCAACCCCACATAGCTCTCTCATCATTTTAAATTTCCTAAATTAATATGTTTTACCTATTTTGAGAGTTTTGACATATAGTTGTAATTCTATAAATTTTAATTTAAGTTTTCAAATATCTTTTTATGGCATACTTTTGATTAACACAAAAAAAACTATTTTAAAACACTTTTTATTGTCACATTTTTTTGTCTACTACTTTAATTTTTTATTTAGATGCAAAATTTTTATAAAGTATTCATAATTTTTTTTTAAATCACAAATCACTTTTCCCACATTTTTAATGTTTAACATAAAACTAAAAATTAGTTAGCCAAACAAATTCATCTTTAAATTGTCTCCGATCATCATATTATCTTATCAAACACTAATTCATCTGCCCAAATATTTTATTGAAATTAACCATAATTTATATATCTTTTATAAGTACCATTTTCCTTTATTTTAAATTACTTTAATAAATATATATATATATATTTAATTAAATATTATTAACTAATTATATACAGAAAATATTATAATTTTTAACATAATGTCATTATTATATACACATATACTTATAATTTATGTGAGGCTCAATATTAAATCAAATAAAATGTTTCTATTTGTATAAAATTTGTTAAACTTTATTATCAGACTTTATCATACTGCAGTAAAATACGTATCATTATTTTCTTAAATAAGTTTATTTTATTTTCAGTTTATGTTGTATTTTTCATCTTTAACCTTATCAATTTAGAACTGACTATTTTTATTGATATTTACTTAATTTATCTTGATGTTGTAAAAAGACATAAACTAATTAGTTCACATTTATAGTAATACGCAAAATACATGTATCTCGACAAATAAATAGAAATTGAATACGTAAGAATATAAAAGAACCAAGAACACAACAAACATATTTTATTATTTTTCCATCATTTTTTTTATATTTATGACTCATTTTTTCCTATTAAAAATAAGTATGACATTGTTTTATAATCTAGGCTATAAAAATTGTGTTAATAGAGTGTTAACTCTAGTCTCATATTAAGATAAAATTCTGATTTTAAGTTTTCTATTATAGTCATTATTTTCTTTGTTTAATATTATTTTAAATGACTTACCATATAGTTTTTATGTATATAAAACTTAATCGTTTCTAAAAGTGATAACTCAACTATAATATCATATTTTCATCGAAGAATTACCAAATTTTTTAAAATTTGTATTTGAGTTTATCATCATTTGACACATTTTTAGAATATGTATATATAATATATATATAGATAAAGCGTGTAGAAATATTATTAGGTTTACAATAATAAATTTTATGCAATTTATGATTTATTTTATCTACTACTAATATAAATATATCTAATCAAATTGGACCGCGATCACAGGGGCGACGATCTTCTTAGACTGAAATCTCCATTGGATTTTCGATCTTCTCTTCGATCTTCTATTGATATGTTTGTTCTTTGACAAAGGATCATCCTCTCCTCTGCTCTCCTCTGTTGGTCTCCTCTGTAGTCTTAGCAGAAGGTTTGTGCGTGTTGTCTACACCTTTCTGCGAAGAAGAACACGACGTCGGGCTTCGTTTTCACCATGCCATCTATGTCCCTGATCTTATGTCGGGATATTTGAGGTTTTGATTCAGCAGTAAAAACGGACGTGGATCGGAGAAGGAGACCAAACCCTAAGATAGATTGCTGCGACTGGATTGGCGTTGGGAGATTAACGGCATTTATTCACTCTTCTGGTTTAGGTCTGTATACTCATAGGTGTCGGATCACGGAGGTTTACTGGTTCAAATATTTGTTTTACTGGTCAGACGCGATTTCACCACGTTGAGGCCGATCTTTGTTGGTTCCTTGATAAATACGTTTTCTTATTGGAGTGGCATGAACTCTAGTGTCTTCACATTCGAGATCGGATTCAGTTCACCATATAGAGTCCGATCCTTGTTGGTCTACACCAATTCAGCTTTTGAGTCCGGCTTCTTCTCAATATTACACCATCGCTTGCTTAAGTGAAGGTTACCAAGTTCTGTGATCATTATCATGGGGCTATCTCAGCGTTCTCGATCTGCCCATATGGCAGATATAAAAGGAAAAGGAATCCTACTCGAGGACGATGACAAACCGATTAAGCTCTCCGCACAAGATGACGATTTTGTCATCAAAGAATATAGGATGTCTCTCATCGGCAAGATTCTAAATCCTAAGAAGCAAAATGTTGAAAAGTTGGTTCAGTCCATGCCTACTCAGTGGGGGCTTCAAGACCGAAGCACAGCCAATGATTTAGGAAATTGGAAGTTCTTATTTAACTTCAGTTCCGAGGAGGATTTGAACTCTGTTCTCACGAAGGGTCCATTCCATCATAACTTCTGCATGTTTGTTCTAGTACGATGGGAGCCTATTGTTAATGATGATTACCCTTGGATTATCCCATTCTGGGTAACCTTTGTTGGGATGCCTTTCCACCTGTGGACGGATAGGAATTTGAGACAAATTGGTGGTAGGCTTGGATTTGTGGATACAGTTGACCTCTCTGAAGGTAGATTGTTGATTGATATTGACTCGCGGAGACCTCTATAGTTCAAGAGGAAGGTGCAAAGTCCGGGGGGTGATGAGGTCACAATTGAGATACAATACAATAAGCTTTTCAAACATTTCACCTTATGTGGTCTAATGACACATGAAAAAGGGTACTGTCCTTTGATAGTGCCTAACTCATTGGGGAGAACTGCTGTGTTTGATCGTGTTAGACTCCCTGAAGATCACCAGCCTTTGCTTGGTGAGACAAGACACGCTACGGGGAGTCACAAGGTGTATGGTGCACCAGAGCGGTATGACCGGAGCAGAGATTTACAATCAAGAATGTATTTCCCACGTGGTGAACACAGTGACAAGAGAGATGGGGACTGTGAGGCCTATCATTTTCGGTCACGAAGGGATGATCACTATACTCGCTATCCTTCTAATCGGGTCTTCCGGAGGCGTGATGAGAGGGGAAATGAAGCGCGAAACAAAGGATCAAGATATGGGAAGGGGCCTTATCATCGTGATGGCCATCTTTCCTAGCGTGAAAAGAGGAGTACAACTGAACCTCTAGCACAAAAGGCCTCAGCTAAGTCAGTGATTCCTTATGAACATGTGGACGATAATGATGCTGCCATTCCAGATGCTGGTTTTACTTCCCGAAGTAGCGATCATATTGTTGCTACAGATGGAAGTCAAGTGAAGCGCTTGGCGAGCATTATTGTGTCCCCCGGATTTCAACGTGGTCCAATGGCTGACAATGTGACAATTAGATGCAAGAGTGCGGCGAAGCAATAACATATTCATCGCCACCAAGGCTAGCAGCAGCTAGTGAGGAACAATTTATAGGAGCTTTAAGTGATATTGGAGTCATGGAAGAGGATGGTGGTGGTGAGGATTTGCTGCTTGAGGATGATCTATTTGATGAGGAGCTTATGGATATTGAAGAGAAGACTCAGGAGATGGAAATCACGTCAAAGGAAATGAGCTCATCTAGACGCATGAAACACCAAAAGGATAATGGCAAGAGGGTTCCCTCTTTGGGGAGTCGATCTTCAAAACCAGTGATCCTTCGCAAGGGCTCCCCACAGATCAAAGGGACTATTGCCTCCACTCATAAGGGGGGGGGGGGCAAAGGAGGAGCACGACGCTCTCACGGTGGTTCTAGGAGGGTGATGGAGGCAAAAAACCAGGATGATGGTTTGATGGATCCAAAAAATCCATCCCACCCTCGTCAATGAAGACAATCAGTTGGAACTGTCGAGGGATCAGAAACAACCTCACAATTCGACGCCTTACGGAGATGTGTCAGAAGCATCACCCAGAATTTGTGTTTCTTTCTAAGACGAAGAATAGGAGGCTGCTGTTGCAAGACATTTAGGCCGACTTAGGATTTGATCGTTTGTTTACCGTTGAGCCACTTGGACTCAGTGGAGGTTTAGCTTTTTAATGGATGATTTTCAAGTTAAGATTTTATTTTCAAATAACAGAATGATTGACATTAAGACAATCATTGATGGAATAAAAGTTTATATGACGTTTGTTTATGGAGATCATGTACTAGAACGTAGGGAGTTAGTTTGGGAACGTCTTACGCGTTTCTCAACAACACGAACTGGACCTTGGTTCATGATTGGTGACTTTAATGAGATTACATGCCACGAAGAGAAAGAAGGAGGAAGAGAACGAATAGACAGCTCTTTTTTGCCTTTCAGGCAAATGCTGAGTGATTGTGGGATGCTAGACTTTCCATTTACAGGGAATATGTTATCATGGGCTGGAAAAAGAGCTGGGAGAGTAACGGTTAGATGCCGTTTGGACAGAGCTGTTGGTAATGAGGATTGTCCTGACAAATTCCCCCACACGAAAGTCCAGTATATGAGGATGTGGGGATCGGATCATCGTCCGATCTTAGCTGATATTCTTAGAAAGCGACCACGAAAATCAAGAAATTTTAAATTCGATAAGCGATGGCTGGACAATGAGGAACTCAGGCAAGTAATTCTGGAGGGGTGGAAATCACCAGACCTTCCACCAGAAGCTAGTATTATGGAGCATATAGCAAGCTGTAGGCGTGCTTTCAGTGATTGGAAGAGACAACACAATCTGAACTCTGAAAAAGAAAAAGTAGATCAGTTATCGTCTAATGATGATGCAACTACTGATTGCAGCGGCTATAAAGGAGTTATCTGATGCTCTTAAGGCAGAAGAACTATAAGCAGAAGTGTAGGGTGTTTTGGTTACGAGAAGGAGACAGGAATACAAAATTTTTTCATGCCCTCACGAAGTAGAGGAGAGCAAGGAACATGATCACACAGCTCTTGGATGAGGATGGAAAAGTGGTACAGGATGAGGAAGGACTTGTAGCCATTGCTACGAATTATTTTTAGACATATTTTCCAATCATCAAACCCTAAGGAAATAGAGGAAGCATTAACTGAGGTCTCTACAACCATTACACCAGTAGACAACGAAAATCTCACAGCACAGGTCACTGAATGGGAGATCAAGGTGGCGCTTTTCGCGATGCATCCAAAGAAAGCTCCAGGGCCGAATGGAATGACTACGCTTTTTTACCAAAAATTTTGAGATATTTGAAAAGAAGATTTAACTCTTATGGTTAATCAATTCATGTTTGAAGGTACGATACCCACTGGTTTAAATGACACCAACATATGTCTCATTCCGAAAGTGGATAAGCCAAATCAGATGACTCAGTTACGCCCTATCAGCTTATGTAATGTTTGCTATAAGATAATCTCTAAGGTCTTATGCCAGAGGTTAAAGAAAGTTCTACCAGACAGAATCTCAGAGACCAAGTCAGCCTTGTTGCGGGGAGACAGATATCTGATAACATTATGATTGCTCAGGAGATGTTCCATGCTTTAAGAACTAAACCAAGTAGACGTAATAAGAGGATGGCCATTAAAACGGATATGAGCAAGGCGTATGATAGAATGGAGTGGTCCTTCATTGAGGCCACCATGAGGAAAATGGGTTTTTCGGAAATCTGGATAACCTGGATAATGCGCTGCATAACATCAGTGAAGTATAAGGTCCTTATGAATGGTCAAGCAAGGGGAATATCGTTCCAGAGAGAGGCCTTAGACAGGGGGATCCTTTGTCCCCTTTCATTTTTATTCTGTGCACGGAAGTGCTCGTTAGCCTTCTAAATCACGCAGAGAACCAAGGGAAGATAACGGGGATGCACATCACACGTGCGTGTCCTTCGGTATCTCACCTTCTCTTTGCTGATGATAGCCTGTTCTTTTGCAAGGCGGAGCCCCGTGAATGTGAAGAAGTAATGAAAGCGGTCAAAAAATATGGAAAAGCCTCTGGCCACCAATGCATTAATTTTGAAAAATCTTCCTTACTCTTTGGTAAGAGGATTGGACAGGATGCTAGACAGGAAATTAAAGACACCCTTGGGATTCAGAACGAAGGGGGAATGGGAACATATCTAGGAATCCCAGAGGATATCAGTGGGTCCAAATGCAAGCTTTTTGCATTTTTAAAGGATAAGTTAAGGAATCGAGTCAATGGATGGACTGGTAGATGGCTATCAAAAGGTGGCAAGGAGGTTATGATCAAGTCGATTCTTCTAGCACTACCAACTTATGTAATGTCCTGTTTTCTCCTACCATTGGAGATATGTGATGCCTTATCTAGTGCCATTGCACAGTTCTGGTGGAGCTCAAACCCCCCTAAAAGAGGCATACACTGGTCTACGTGGGACAAATTGTGCTTATCTAAAGAGGAAGGTGGGGTTGGTTTCAGGATGATCCATGAATTTAATCTGGCTCTGCTAGCAAAGCAGTTATGGAGGCTGGTTCAATACCCAGATTATCTGGTTGCTCGTGTTTTGAGAGGTCGGTACTATCGACTAAGTTCGCCGTTGCGTCAGCTTACTGTTAGTAGCCCATCATATGTGTGGACAAGTTTATCGGCGGCACGAGAATTACTTTTATTGGGAATTAGACAAAAGATTCATTCAGGCTATGAGGTGAAAGTATGGGAGGATCCTTGGATTCCTACTATACCAGCGAGACCGGCATCCCGATCGGCACCGGTGATGCACCCAAATATGAGAGTAAACGACCTCATTAATCAAGAGACTAAGACTTAGGATGCGATGAGACTGGAAAACTACGTAGATGCTGCTGATATACCTCTCATAAAGAGTATGTCAATTAGTTCTACACACCGTAGGGATACTTATTGTTGGAGCTATACAAGAGTGGACAATATACAGTCAAATCTGGATACTGGGTTGCACAGAATGTATTAAAACAGGAGGAGGTGTCTGTAGTTAGTGAACCTAGTATCACTAAACTACAAGCACAAGCTTGGAAGGTGCGGGCTCCCCAGAAGATGTGCCATCTTATGTGGCAACTAATAACAGGTCATGTGGCTGTTACGAGTACTTTAAACTATATGCACATAAGATGTGACAATTACTGTCCACGCTGTGGAGAACCTGAGGAATCAATTGCACATGACATTTTCCTGTGTCCACCTGCAAAGCAAGTATGGGCCTTATCGTCGATGCCTACTAGTCCTACTTTATTCCCACTTCAGAGTACATATGAGAATATGGATTACCTCTTTTGGAGGAAGAATGCCATAGCAGCACCGGGCTTGGACATGGATCCTTACCCGTGGCTTATATGGTATATTTGGAAGGCCCGAAATGAAAAATTGTTCAAAGGGATTGATAGAGACCCACTGGAGATACCCCGATATGCAGAGAGTGAATGTCAAGCCTGGTTCAAAGCCAATGAACAGATTTCTCTGCCTTCGCAAGGAAACCTGGAGGTTGATACCCAAGCCATAAGTTTGGGGAATATATGTATGGTAGATGGCTCTTGGACCTCTACAGCTCCGTTCAGTAGATGTGGATGGGTTTGGAATGACAATACGGGGAATAGTCAGTTGATGGGAATGCGTAATTTTGATAGAGTGGAGTCGGCTTTGCACTTTGAGCTAGAAGCACTGCGGTGGGCAATGGAGAACATGCTTCAACATTATCCATGTCAGAGCTTTGGGACAGACTGCAAGGAAATAATAACAATGCTCAGGAATCCACAGGAATGGCCAAGTTTCTCAACGGAATTAGAAAAACTCACGACGTTGCAGATTTGTTTTCCAGATTTTAAGATTTTCTATATTTCTATGGCACAAAACGGAGTTTCCGATTTCCTAGCTAAGACTGCTTGATCTTTCTATCAAGATTTGGTGTATGTTGGTTGTTCTATTCCGGTCTGGATTCCCAGACCACCTCAAGCTTGAGTAATAGATCAGCCGTTCGTTGTCAAAAAAATATATATCTAAGCTCTCACGTTAAAATTTAGAGTGGTTAAAGTCAATGATACCCTTAATAGAATTTATCTATATAATTTATGATATAGTTAAAACGAATTGTATATTAATAATTATAAATATATATATATATATATATGTTATCTTACATAATTATTCTAATTTAATATAATAAAGTTGTTAAAAATAAATAAAAAACATATTTTCAAACATACAATAATTCTTATATATTGTGTTTGTTATCTGAAAATAATATTATAATAACATGATAATCCGTATATGTTCAGTTTTATATATAAATGGTTTTTTTTTTATCTAGAAATAATATTTTATATTATAAAATTGAATAACTAAAATATTTTATAATTAAATATTAATCATGCAAAAAATTTGTATAAAGGTATTATCTAAAATATTTGTAGTATGTGAATGTTTTTAAAATTTCAATACAATAGTAAACAAAGATAGTTTGATGAGAAAATTTATCATTTATGAATAAATTGATGTTAGATTTACAAATTTTGAAAATATAAATAATAACTTAACACGAAAGTTTTGAATCAATAAACGGAAAATAAAAAAGTATTCGTAAGAAAACTATGTCTTGTGCGGACAAACAGCATAATTATGTAATCGTTTACGTAGTATCATATGTATTTACATGTGTATTATAAATTTATATAATGTAATATATGATATTAATTGTTTCTATAAACAAATTAAGTTAATTCATCAATATCTAAGATGCTTAATTGTTTGTTTGGTAGCATAGATTATATTAGGTAATTCTGAAATTAGTTTTCTTTTATGTTTTTTAATTAATAAAATAAAAATTCAAATATCAACAACCAATCAAA